CTAGTAAAGGCCAAAGTGCATACCAGTCAGCTAGTTGAAGGTTTTTTGTGTCTCACTAGTTAACTATTGATGGCCAAAATGTGCACACTAGTTAACTAGTGAAGGCTTAACTCCTAACTAGTTAACTAGTTGGAGTAGGTCAGTGCCACTAGTTAACTAGTGAACCATTAATGACTCACTAGCTAGCTAGTTGATGGCAGCAGGCTCACTAGTTACCTAGTTGATGCATCCATTGTCCAAACTAGTTAACTAGTGAGGACATAAATGTATACTAGTAAACTAGTTCAAGTCTACATTCACACTAGCTAGCTAGTTGCGCAGAATTTTAATTAAGAGGCGGAGAATTTCTCAAATTAAGACTCTCTATTGGCTCCCTGTGTCAAAATAAAATATGACAACCAATCACAGTGCGGAATTTCGTAAAATCCCACCCCAAACATTTGCATGCGGCACACAAGTTAACAAGCTGGCCAGAGGAACCTCAGCTAGTGAACTAGTAGTGGCTTCAGTGTGACACTTACATGTAAACTTGTGAAGGCGGAACTGCTCACTAGTTAACTAGAGAGGGTACAAATGTCCACTAGTTAACTAGTGAGGTGCAAAATAAGTGTCACTAGTTCACTAGTGGGCCCCAAATCGCCCACAAGTTAACTTACATGTAAGTGTCACACTGAAGCCACTACTAGTTCACTAGCTGAGGTTCCTCTGGCCAGCATGTTAACTTGTGTGCCACATGCAAATGTTTGGGGTGGGATTTTGCAAAATTCCACACTGTGATTGGTTGTCATATTTTATTTTAACATAGTGAGCCAATAGAAAGCCTCAATTTGAGAAATTCTCTGCCTCCTAATTAGAATTCTGTGCAACTAGCTAGCTAGTGTGAATGTAGGCTTGAACTAGTTTACTAGTATACATTTATGTCCTCACTAGTTAACTAGTTTGGACAATGGATGCATCAACTAGGTAACTAGTGAGCCTGCTACAATCAACTAGCTAGCTAGTGAGTTTTTAATGGTTCACTAGTTAACTAGTGGCACTGACCTACTCCAACTACTTAACTAGTTAGGAGTTTTGCCTTCACTAGTGAACATGTGGACACTGAACTGTCACTAGTTAACTAGTGAGACACAAAAACCTTCAACTAGCTGACTGGTATGCATTTTAGCCCTTACTAGTTAACTAGTGAGCCATTTTTGTGTCACCTAGTTAACTAGGAAGCCAAAATGTGTTCACTTGTCAACTAGTGGGCATTTCTTCTGTCACTAGTTAACTGGTGTGCACATTTTGGCCATCACTAGTTAACTAGTGAGACACAAAAACCTTCAACTAGCTGACTGGTATGCATTTTGGCCTTTACTAGTTAACTAGTGAAGCCAAAATGTGTTCACTAGTTAACTAGTGAACATTTCCGTCTCCCACTAGTTAACTGGTGGGCTCATTTTGACCCTGACTAGTTAACTAGTGAGACACAAATACCTTCAACTAGCTGACTGGTATGCATTTTGGCCTTTACTAGTTAACTAATGAGCCATTTTTGTGTCAACTAGTTAACTAGTGAAGGTCAAAATGTGTTCACTAGTTAACTAGCGTGTACAGTTTGACCCTCACTAGTTAACTAGTTGACCTGTTGACAAGATATCAGAATTAATGATCAAGCGGCTGGCCAAATTGGGCAAAGTTAACAAGTGGGATTTTTACATTCAGTAGTCAGCTAGTACACGTTTTTGTACCTTACTAGTTGACTAGTAAAAACTAAATGTGTTTTAACTAGTTAACTAGTGGACATTGATCTGTCCACTAGTTAACTAGTGAACACACTGAGCAATACTAGTTAACTAGTAAGATATGAAACATTTTAACTAGTTAACTAGAGAGAATTTAGGCCTTACTAGTTAACTAGTTGACATTTAGGCTGTCACTATTTAACTAGTTGACACAAACATGTCTAACTAGTTAACTAGTGGACAGAAATGGCTTACATGTTCATGACAATGCTGGCTGATATCCTGATATCAGAATAAATGCTCATTTGGCTTGCCATACACACACACACACACACACACACACACACACACACGCACGCACGCACGCATGCACACACACCACACACACACACAAGGGTTCCTAAGACTCAAACAGAGTGCAGACAAGACTGTTTAAATAGAAAAAAAGAACATAGTACAGCTCTTTCATTTATCCTGTTACAAGTTCAAAATGTTTCTGTGTGATGATTTGCTTGCTATAAAACACACACCTGAGCCTAATCTTTGATTACTAAACTGTGTTCTCATAAGTATTCCTAAAAATCTGACTTTTTTGCCCCTTCTAAAACCAAAGACATCACTTTATTGATTGATAAATGTTTCAATTATGTTCTTTTTTAGGTGATAGAAAAAAAGTATTTATTCCCAAAAATAAGTGAATCCATTACTTCTAAAGTCCTAATTGGATTAGAGTTAAAATTAGCACAAGGGCCAGCTGTATAAAGCTGCAATTTCCATGCAGAGATTTGCAACCTCAGTTCTTTTCTTGTGTTGTAGCTTTTCTACAGTACACTTAGCTCAACTGAACCGTTGTTAACCACAAAGAGCCAGGAAATAATTATTTTTACCTTTCCCCTCAATTTAGAAGCTGTTTGTTATTCTAGCCCGTCTGTCCTCAGTGACTCCCTCCCATTGTGCTGCAGAAGCTCTGCTGCAGACGGGATTGCTCCTTGACATTTTGTATAATTGTTTTGTACTTAGTTTGTTTTGCTCAGCGAGATCTGACTTGCAGGTGTCATAATAACCTGTTCTCAAGCACCAGCACATCTTACACTGTGTCATTAGGGCATCATTTAAATAAATTTCCCCCAAAACAATAGAAAAGGTCATTTTCAATGCAGATCACAGTGATTGTGTTATGTTATTAACCCTCTGGAGGCAGACGTTGCAGATTTGCAACAGTTAAAACCCAGCTACCTGGTTACTCCACGTACGTATTTCATGAGCATTTTTAAACTCAGAAGTACCCCTGAAAGGACTTAGTTGTTTGTCCTTTTATCAAAACTTATTTTGAGCCTAAGAGGGTTAACATTAGAATCAAGGAGAAATCATTTAAATAGAACATCCAACGGTGGGTGAATGATAATTTTGAGTTTGCAGATTTTTGAAGATAATTGTCTTCTTATTGTTGTGTTTTGCTACTGAAATTCTGTCAAGGAAACAAAAACTGCAAAGCAGCTTTCAAAAACAAAACTGTTGTATAAAAGTCACCAAACGTATTCCTATTGTACCTGAAAAATAAGGAAAACTGTTCATTTAGTTTTCATAGATATGCACAGTGTATTACATAGAATGAAATATAATAGAAGAAATCTTAAACCAAGCTTGGAGCTTTCTGTAGTCATATATCCATCCCATAATTTCACTGTAAAGTAGCACCATTCCCACCAGCTCACGACAAATCATTGAGGTGTAATTTTTGTTTCTCATAGATGGCTGGAAGCTAACTGGATCACACTGAGAGACAAGGCAGGTCTCTCTCTCTCTCTCTCTCTCTCTCTCTCTCTCTCTCTCTCTCTCTCTCTCTTCTCTCTCTGTGTGTGTGTGTGTGTGTGTGTGTGTGTGTGTGTGTGTGTGTGTGTGTGTGTGTGTGTGTGTGTGTGTGTGTGTTCCATGCTGTGGTCTCTGGCTGTGACCCCAGTGTTAATCACTCAGAAACAAACCACAGCCTCTATTACACTGCTGAAGCTGTTTTCTTCTCCTCTTCTTGTTTATTTCATTCATGCTCTCTGCTTTTACTCTATTCTCTGTTCGTTGGCCCTTCAATCCCTCCGTAACATCACTATCTTCTCCACTTGACCTCCCACTTAGACAAGATTGCTTCCTCGTTCACTGTTAAGGATGCACCTTGGTATTTTTCATCCTCCTGGCAAAACCTCAGACTCTCACCTTTCGTCTGGCCTTTGGCTCTGCTTTAGTCTTCCTAAGCTTGCTGTTTCTCTGCTACTGCAAGGCTACACTGTCATCATTCCTCTGCTAAAGTGTAAAAGAGCTAAAGGCTTTCCTCACCTCTTAGTCTGGTACATCATCATCTAGTTTATCTTTTAATAGGATTTTTATTTTATTATTTTAATTTGGTGAATCTGAAGTAAAGTGAAGAATCAGAGGAAAATCCCATTTGCCCCCTCATGTCTTTAGAAGAAAAAATTACCTGAAAAATTTCTCAATATTTGTCTCTGATGGAAAGTAGGTCCCCGGAAATTCCTGTGGCTGTTCTAGTAAGCTGCATGGCACTGCAGATCGGTATCTGGGTCAGCATGCCTGCTGACCTTCCTGTCAAATGCCATTTAGTTATTTTACATAAGTGCACATCAGCATGCTAACCTGCTAATAGCAACAACGGAAACACAAAGTTAGCACAAGACTTTGGATGCAGCTTTTGCAGTTTTACACCATTTTTGGCATGAAAACATTTGTTAACTGCCTTATTTATTGTTGTTGTTGTTGTTGTTATAAGCTGAGAAAACAGAATTGATTAAATAATTGACCAGCTGACTACCGAGCATCCCCATCCTTGGTGCCGTGGCTCCAGGATGATTCACCACCAGTGGGTACAGATCTTCTCTACACCAGTGGCTGACCGAGTTTCTGCCTGACTAACTAAACTTCTCTTTGGAGTGAGTGTTGACTTCTCAGTGTTGTGATGATCACTCCACTGCGCCTTTGTCGCCTTGTGACACCCCAGGAATCACAGTAGTTAGGTGTGTGAACACATCCACACACACACACACACACACACAAGCTGAGGCGAAGAGTGTGAGTTCCAGAGGCATCGACAGGGCCTAATTATACACGTCTCTAATGAACTGTAATTACTGCCATCCACCAGAGCATCGAGGTCTATAAGCCAAGGACCTGCAGTCATTAGGCTAATGCGTTGCACTGTTTCTTTACCTCCACTGACTCAATGAAATTTATATTCTCCGTCTTCTTTTCTCTTCTCTCTCATTCTTTCAGTTTGATGGTGACAACATGTACATGAATGAAAACAACCACGAGTTTCTCCCACCAAACCAGGTGAGTTCAGATTGCTTTTTGCTTTGCTTTGTGATTGCTGTCTGAATTTTAATAGGGTGTTATTACAAATGACCTAATTATGTGTCCAGACTGGAATCCAACAGCAAGCCAAAGTGCATTAATAAAGAAAAACAGGTTACAATTTGAGATATTTAAAGGGACATGTTGTGCTAAACTCATCTTTTGCATCCTTTTGTGCTACCAGGTGGCTCTCCTATTTCTTCTATAACAGTCCAAATCATGTTTGGTTTTAACAAATTGTGTCTCAAACAAGCCATTTCAAACAGTCCCCATCTGTGATGTCACAAACAGGGAGATAAAGAGAAAGAAAGAGACAGCTGCTGCTGGAAGTGCAGTGGCTCTACTCTGAGCCCCTCCCAGATATCAGAGCTTTTCAGCTTATAGCAGCCTGAACAAGGGGTGGGAGGATGTGGACAGCTCCAGCTTGTTCTCTTGTGACAGAGCCATGAAACAACTCATTCTGGAAGGTACTAAAAATATCAAGAATAAAACCGCTGAGATCACTTTATGTGAGAAGGATTTAGTCTAAAATGTCTCTTTAATTGAGAATACTTTCCATACTTAATTATTCTTTAAACTGCCAAAGCTGTATTTTATTTATTTTGCTTCATAAACCTGTAATCCATCAAATATATCAACAAAACAATCCAAAGAAAACAAAATCTTCTACACTTTACCAGTAAGCTAATTCTGTTAAAAAACTCTAATTCTCCTGATTACTCTACGGCGCTTTTAGTTTGGGACAAGCCAACTTGGAAAATTTTTTGGACTCAATGAAAAGGATTTTTAAAGACGGGAGGGGGTTACAGTGCATGTCATCCCTGCCAGAAATACTGTAGCACAGCTGCTTGGGAACAACCGGGAGACCATATGGTTATGTTTGGGCAGAGGGATTTGAGGAGTTTGGGAATAAGTCCATCTGACACGTGCCGACATGCTGGGAATTTGTTCCCGTCAATTGCAATTATTAAAACCAAAGTCTTAGAGGAATCGTCTGTTTCTTTAGCACTTTTTATACGTTTCTGAATATCTTAGGTTGTTTTAAATATGTCTCACTGCCCAGACTGAGACAGAGAGCTGCTTAATTCTCCTTTTCTAAAAGATTACTTGTATTTATTTTACAGTGACAACAACAAAAACAGAGAAGATAAAGAAGATGTTGGACTGTCTATAAAACCCCAAAAGACAAATATTTGCCAGTCGTTTGACTTCAGCACCTGTTGCATCACTGGAGTGTTATTCACTGACAAAGTCAAACTGTCGGGCAGTGTTAGAAGGTGTACAAATTGCAGATTTATAAGGATTAGCAAGTGAGTGAACATAAAAACGAATGAGAAACGTAAAAGGGAATGTTGGGGAGAGAGAAAAACAAAAATAGCATCAAGAATTTTGATGGAATCAGGAAACGGTTTTGCTTTGCTCTGTGTTATACTTTGTTTACTCAAGATTCCCTCATATTTGACATGTGCCTCGTTCTGTTCTCTGCTTCACCAGATTCAGACTCTCCTCTCTGACAGCTAGAATCAGGGAAGCCTTTGGGGTGGACACACACACACACACACACACACACACACACACACACACACACACACACACACACACACACACACACACTAATAACAAAATACAGAGATACAAAACTCATGGATCACCCTTACTTTGTTTTAATCACACTAAATGATTTCTACCAAAAATCTAATTTTATTAACAAAAACGATTAAATTGTGTCTGCAATGAAAACCAAAGTATGGTCCAGCATGACATATTTCTATGACATCTGTGTGAATAGCTGCACATTAAACTGCTGTTGTCATATATTATAGCTGATAGCACTGAGCCACAGAAGGAGAGGCTGCACACCGTGACAAATGAGATGGAAATAAGATAAATGTGTTTTACTCACACAGTGGCTTTGACTAAAGAATCCATCCCAAAAATAAAAAAATAACAAAATGAATGTGGTCAGCTCAGATATTTTCATTCAGCTGGTAAATTATTCATGACAACCCCGTTTAAACCAGAACTCCCTTATAGGCTGAGCTTTTTTTTTTTGGAAACTTCAAAATATTTTGCCTAAATCCTCATTTCTGTTTGTTTCTTTGTAGTTTGGAAATTTGTTTAGAATTATTTTATGGAACAAAACATTTTGGCAGCTATGATCTATGTGCACAGGTCCACTTTTACAGCCTGTAGCTCATATATTTGCAATCTGTTTCACTGGTTTAGACGTTTTCCAAAATGAAGTTAAAAACACATTAAGGAAGGATAAATCCGTTTATGTGTTTATATTTTTTGGCAAATTTTGATTTGGAATGGACTTTTGGTTTAAGTAACAGAGATATAATAGCTGCGAGGCAGCGTTTTTTATAAATCTATTTATTTCTGTAAAAAAGTGTCATTCCGCATGCACAGTAGCCACATTATTCTCAATATATTTCACTTTGAACAATATCACACTGCCTTAAGCTGACTTTTCTCTGCTCACTACATTATTATCTCACTTTACTTATCTATGTTTTTTGCCGTTCTCCGACTCCCCCTCTTTGGCTCATTCTCTCGCCGTATCTTTAGTTCTCTTTTTTTTTTCATTTCTGTTGCATTTAAATGCATTTGGGTCAGCGGTTCTGCTTCGACTCTTTGTAAAAGCACTCTGCTGTCTTTCACTTCAGATTCTCCACGTAATTGTTCCATTTAATGTTGCTCACCTGTAAAAGTACATTTTTATATACACAAAGTACTTTGGGATATATAGGTCATAAGCATGGCCCTGTTGCATAAATTGGCCCAAGTAACCACATGAAGTAGCACTTTGATGGGTATGGAGTGATGAGTAACATGGAAACGGGGTCAGTGCCATTGTCATGTCGATGTTCCCATGAGCATCGTTTTCTGACTCTGTAGTTCTCTGTATTGTTTCTGCTCCCCTCCCACTCTTCCTATTAGGGTGACAAAGTGATAGCGATTCGATGACGGGGGGCGAGGACCCTGGTCTTGGCATCAAGGACCTCTTTGTCTGCCCCCTTTGGCCACTAACATGCCGCAGAAACATTGTGGAATGAAAAAAAAAACACAATGATGAGTTCTAGAGGTGATTTCATCTGATCTGATGAAACTGCCACAAAAGAAAATGGAGCAGCTTCAGGATTTCTTTTTACTTTATTTTTTTGAATTTCACGTCTTGTAGACCTTCGCCTAAAGTTAGATTCCTCTAAAGAGAATAGTGCGTAGCGACACGATCAAAGTTAATACACTGTGGTAATGCCGTCTCATACCGCCACGGCAAGGTAAAAGAGTCGGTGTACTTCATCAGCACTTTACCTCGACAATGCTCTCTTTTGATCTCGTTCTACCTGACTTATGAATTAATTTAGCAGAACTGCTGTTTGAGAGAAATGTGTCATCGGGGGAAAAAAATGGAAAAAAAGAACAGGAGGAGGAAACAGATAGGGGGAAGGGTAGAGATGGAGAACTGCACAGGGGAATAATTCGACTAATGGAGTGACTGTTTGGATATTCAGCAGAAGAAGGAACGGAGATTATGATCATGCAATTAGCGTAACAAGGTTTTATTGATTGGCTGCTGCTTAGTGTCTTTGCTGCCAAGACACTGCATGTGGTTTTAACATGAACGGTGTGTGTGTGTGTGTGTGTGTGTGTGTGTGTGTAGCTAAACTACAGCCCATCTATTACAACACTTCCAGAGCTGAATCCAGCTCCACAGGTACATCGAGATGAGCAGAAATATTTTTGGATTTAAAAGGATGTAAAAGGGTTTGCTTGAATGATGATTAACAGTTGACTGGATTTGCATGAATTTTTTTTACTAATTTTTATGATAAAGAGCAGGTATACTGAGAAACCCCTTTTTTCTTTTCTTGTCATTTTTGAAATACGATCGGTCACTCTGAGTGAGCTGAACATGAAAATAGTCCTCTTTCCCTGTTTACTGCGCTAGCCGCAGAAATAGATTTAACAGGCAAACTCTCGAATTATAAAAGTCAGTCAGATCTACATCACACTGTAAACAAGCCTTCATGGACTCACCCATCTTGACTCATAACGGGGAACGCTGTATTGACTCACGCAGCTAGGAAAGAGCAGAGCCCCTCTCGACTAGTGGAAGCTAACCGTTAGCATTAGCAACTCCACATTACGGCAGAACTCCTTCAGGCTTGGGTTATTTGTGGAGATAAAGCAATAAACATTGCAGAGCGAATGGAGCCAGTGGAAGAATTGTGTTGCTGTTAGCCAATCAGAGGTAAGCTGTACAAACATCATGAATAAGACTCCAAATCCTGCTGTTTTCTGGCTCCAGCTAACTTCTACTTCCTGAAGCAGGAGGGCCAGAGCTTTTATCCCACAGAAAATGACTCACAAGGCATTCATTTACGCTAATTGATAAAGAATAAGGCATCTATTTTTGCTATTTCAAAATTTGTCTCCCTGTTTAACATGTTTTCAAAAAATGATAGCCTCCTCGCTTGACACTCAGCTTTAAGGGGTTGGATTGGGGGGTTAAACCACCAAATGGTTCCGGAGCGTGGTCGTGTTTTCAGGTCACCACTCCCCGAGGGGTTAGGTCAAATGTGGAGAACAAAATTTCACACCAGTGAAAAATAGTGGGACTTTAACTTCAACTGCTTCTTGTCGTTTTTGTGAGTCAACTTTGGCAGCAACCCCCCCACCCCCCCCCCCCACCCCCACCCCCAGAAACACACTGACGGCGATCAATGAAAAATTTCTACTTTAAATACGGAGACAAACAAATGAGATTATAATTAGATTTACAACACAAGTTGACAGACTGAGCTAATAACATGAACGCTCCTGCTAACAGATATGTCACATTGTCGTCGTGGCCCAGCTTCCAGAAACTGTGGTTTTCTGAATGCCATTAAGCTCCCCCGTTGTCCCTCGTCCCCCACAGGCTTCTGATGAGCTATTGTCGAACACAATTCTGTAGTCTAAATGTTTAACCT